TTAAGGTTGTTGTATTTATTTTTAGTTTTGGGGGTTAATTTTTTTTTTCATATTTGTTGTTAATCAATTACTCCGGGATTTATCGGAAAAAAAGTATTTAAATTGAATCTAAGGTTACTATAATTATTTGTGAATTTTTTACGTTAATTTTATATTTTTTTAAATATTTTTCCTATTTTTTTATTAATCAATTATTCATTTTCAAAATTTATCAAAAAAATAAAAATTAAACAAAATTGTTGAAAATCAGTCGGATAATTTATTTAAAAGGCGGTTGATTTATGGGTCAAATTAGGAATTAATGAGTCCGATATCTTTCCATTTTCGTATAAATGTCATGTGGTAAGGTCAAAATTACATGACAATTCCATGTGACATTTAAAGAAATAAAAAATGAGTTGGATATGTCCAACATGGCAACTAACGCCCACAAGGGCATATTTGGATCAAAAATTGGACGGCGTAGGCATGAGTGAAACGAACTCTAAACGAATGGTATATCTAAACCTTTTCGAATAGTTTAGGACATATTTGACCCTTTTCCCTTTTTTAATATCGTTATTTTGATAATATGATAATTGATTTGTTTTTAGATTTATTTGATTGTATTAAATTTGATATTAGCTATTTATAACATACCTTTCTTTCTTAATAAAGAGTACTACAATCAAACTCCTTTCTTTAAAAAGTATATATACTTTATACACAAGACTTGATATTTTATGTTGCCATCCAAGTCGTCAAAGAATCAATCTATTTACATATTGAGTTTTGGCCTTGAACGGTACTCTTGGCATGATGATCGAACATAATGAGCTGAAATCGATTTATCTTTTCACCGACGATTTTACTCAATTTCATGAGTGAAGAGATGAGTCAACAAGACATGATTATCAAATATATTTTTAGAAGCATTTCTTAAAATAGCTTTCCAAAAATGTGTTTTGCAAAAAAAATAAAGAGTAATTTATATTTGGTTAATTCATTTGCAAAGTGTTTTTGATAAATAAAATGTGTTTGGCTATTATTTTTTTTAGAAATACTTTTGAGAGTCAAATAACAAAAAAAAAAACAAGTATCAATTTACTTAAGTATCAATTTACTTTTAAGATTAAGAATATTAAATAAAGAGAAATTATTTTAAATATTTATTATAACTTTAATTAAATTTTCATTTTTTAAAAAAGTTGTACGTATTTAAATTTTCAAGCTATATTATACATATATGAATAAAAAATATTTATTTAACATTAACATGATGATTTAAATATAATTAAAAATATCAAATAAATAAATTTGAGAGTTATTCCACAAAATAAATCATTACATATGGAAAAATTTACCATAAAAATTAATATAAAAGATATATTGATAAATAAATAACACGTATATTGTCTTGAAATAAATAATTTTCTCCTTTTGCTTCTTTTGTTTTTTAAAGGCAGAGTTATGTAGATTTTTCTCAACAGCAAAAAAAAGATACTATGTTTTCATTTAAAATCAGGTTATTATTACTCAAACATCTTGAACTTTTTAATTTTTTTCAAATAAGCGTTTTTGACTTTTTCACAACAATATCAAACAAACTCTTAAGAGTCTATGCGAATTGATTATTCGCCTTTTATTTATAGGTAAAAAATTATAAAACAGTTATTTAATTATTTAGCTGTAAGCCTAAATGCTTAAGTTTATTTTTTGTTTGTGTAAATATTCCAAATATGCTTAAAGTTTGATTTAAAGTTACTGTAAATAAGTCAATTCATGCTCTAAAACCAATTTAGGTCCTTTTTTTTAGTAAAAAATAAAATTAAATGAATTAAATCTTTTTAAATCCATTATTAATATAAGTATTTTATCACATTTATATTAATAAATTCATAGTTTTAGGTTTCGTAATTTGAGAAATAAATATTTAGGGCAAAAAAATAATCTCTTTTTTAGATATAATTTGTTAAAATGATAAATAAAAAATAAAATATTAATTTAAAATACTAAACAACTAATAAAAGTGAAAAGGGGGAGTTATTATGTTGTTGTCGGTAATTTACTTTCCTCGATGAAAGAAAAAAAAAGTGTGATTCATTTATCTAATGTCGAAATCATTAAAGTTTTTGTGGTTATCGTATAGGCAATATAAAGGGACATCGATTTTAACCTATAGTTAAATGAAGTAGGGATCACGGACAAGAATTCATTATGGGAGACGAACTTTTTTTACATGATAATTAGGTTAGTTTTGAGTTTATCTATTAATTATAATTATAGGTGATATTTGTTGTTTTCTCCGTTTTATAATAATTGAATTTTTGAGATACTTTTATTTTTAAAAATTAATTTAATTATTTTAAAAAATATATTTTCTAATGTTCTTTTCATTTTAATTTTCATTAAAAAAATTAATCATTTTTTTCTATGGACGTTCTACAATTAATATGACTATTGAACGTTTAAACAAACTTGAAGACCCAATAATTCAATGTAAGAGAATAATTAATATAAATAAAGAGCAAAATAGTAAAGTCAATCATTCTATTCGGAGGTGTATCCGAGGAGGAATCGTCGGGTTCAAGTGAATTCATGCTCTCCTCTCGAGATCATATAAAGTAATGACTTTACTGTTATATTTTTTAAAAAATATTAAAATATAGATGTGTGAACCCACACTCGGAGTATCATATCGTACAATGATGACTGGATACCTCTTTATGTGAGTTTAAAAATTTAAATTTTATATTCATTTTATTTTATTTTTCTTTCTAAAATTTGGTAACACCTCTCTAAATGATTATTGGTTAACACTTTTGATATTTTAATTATTTTTGGACCTAATATTAATTTTAACAGGTTCCAATAATGAAAACCTAAATGCAGAACCGATCAAATTTATATCTTATATCAATCTTTTTGTAATAATGTAGGAAATCACGAGTACGCCTTGGTTTCTATTTATGATTTCTTATAAAATAGAAATTGTTCATCTAATATGAGACAGAGAAAATACCAAATAACTTAATTATTTTATCCAATTTTAAATAATATTTATATTGAAATTGTATTAATCTAAATTTGTATCGAAGATTTTATTACAGAGGACAAAATAATTTTTATCAAATATTTAAAATTTGAATTTGAGAGTTATATGACTCCATTGATTTT